TTCCCAATCATTACAAAACTCACAGGATATGTCCACATAAGAACCTGAAACATAGCCTGAAAGTTTCAATCAAATCGACCAGTAGGGGGTGCCACAAATGCACAAAATAGCCTAACATAACACAAATCAGATTATACATCATAAGTTGTTGGTCCAATCATTACACTGGCAAAATAGGTCCACATGAATACCTGGAACATACTCTTAAAGTGGTTTTTGTCCCCCGTTGCCGCGGTAGCGAGCAGAACGGGGGACATAGTATTCAGCTTCGTCCGGCCGTCCGTCATGTCCCGTTTGTTGCGAACGCGATATCTCAAGAACGGTTTGACCGATCCCATTCATCTTTGGTGTTAAGGTATATTGGTGTTATACGCCCACCCTAGTAGATTTCCGTGACCTTGGCATTATTCTCAAGGTCATTAAGACCATTTGACCCCTTACAAATTCCTTGTCAACATGATAACTCAAGAACGGTTCGACCGATTCCATTTATCTTTGGTGTCAAGGTGTATTAGGGGCAGGGGACATAGTATTCAGCTCCATTCATCCGGTCCCGTCCCGTTTGTTGTGAACATGATACCTCAAGAACGGTTTGACCGATTCCGTTCATCTTTGGTGTCAAGGTGTATTAGGGGCAGGGGACATAGTATTCAGCTCCATTCATCCGGTCCGTCCGTTTGTTGTGAACATGATACCTCAAGAACGGTTTGACCTTGGCATTATCTTTGGTCAAGGTCATTCGACCATTTGACCTTGGCATTATTCCAGGTCATTAAGAAATTGACCCTACAAATTCAACATGATAACTCAAGAACGGTTCGACCAATTCCTTTCATCTTTGGTGTCAAGGTGTATTAGGGGCAGGGGACATAGTATTCAGCTCCATTCGTCTGTCCGGTCCCGTCCCGTTTGTTGTGAACATGATATCTCAAGAACGGTTTGACCGATTCCATTCATCTTTGGTGTCAAGGTGTATTAGGGGCAGGGGACATAGTATTCAGCTCCGTCCGTCCTGTCCCGTCCCATCCCGTCCTGTTTGTTGTGAACATGATATCTCAAGAACGGTTCGACTGATTCCATTCATCTTTGGTGTCAAGGTGTATTAGGGGCAGGGGACATAGTATTCAGCTCCGTCCGTCCTGTCCCGTTGTGAACATGATATCTCAAGAACGGTTTGACCGATTCCATTCATCTTTGGTGTCAAGGTGTATTAGGGCCGGGGGACATAGTATTCAGCTCCGTCAGTCAGTCCGTCCGGCCGGCCGTCCGTTGTCACGTCCCGTTTGTTGTGAACACGAAATCTCAAGAACGCTTTGACCGATTTTATTCACCTTTGGCTTCAATGTGTATTTGTGTGATACGCCGACCCCAGTGGATTTCCGTCACCTGGCAGGGGACATGGCCACGTTTAGTGGCAACATTTGTTAATTGAGCTGTTAAAGCTTTCAACTACTAATGGTCTTTCTTGGCTTGAACTCCGGAATTGCCGCTTGCGGCTATATTTATTCTTGTTTCCGCCGTTTTGACCTAATTCCGTGTGGGCGCCAAAAACTACAAGGGTTTGTCACTTGTAACTTGGCACACTATTACATTGGCTGAAGATGATCTCCGACGACAAAAATCCCACCAGTACACCTCTAGGTGGCGCAATAACGAATGCATATGCGTTTGGACTCAGATCTCAGACATTGTTTGGTCTTTTTGTAAAATTCTTTTTTCCTCTGATTCATTGGAGTCTCGTTCATCTATTCGGCATAGCCCCGCACATTTGATGAATTTTGCTGAGCGGGGCACATAGTTACTCTTATGCCTATATTTTTAGATATCGTGATCCAAACTTCATGAAAGTTAAGGTTCATAATAAGTTGCTTTGCTGGAGCCACGCCAAATTTTGTGGAGTTACACCAAAAGGGGGCGCTATAAATGTCATATGGTGATATCTCAGGATCCAGTTGGGCTAATGACCTGGAATTCGACATGGTGATGTAGGACACTCCTGGAATGTATGTCCTGGAGATTGGTGGGCGTGGCTAAAAAAATCAGCGAGAAAAATCAAAAAAACTGTACAAATGTCTGTATTTCCAAGTTGGCCGGATAAGTTTCGGATTGAGTGATTGATTATGATAGGTCCTTGCATTTGGAAGATATGCACCAAATTTGAGGTTTTTTGAATGGACGGGGGCTGAGTAATCAATTTTTTTTCTCATTTCTGCCGTTTTGACCTAATTCCATGTGGGCGGCAAAAACTACAAGGGTTTGTCACTTGTAACTTTGCACACTATTACATTGGCTAAAGACGATCTCGGACAACAAAAATCCCACCTGTACACCTCTAGGTGGCGCTATAACATATGCGTTTGCGTTTGGACTCAGATCTCAGACAGTGTATGGTTTTTTTGAAAATATATTTTTTCCTCTGATTCCTTGGAGTCTCATGCATCTAATGAGCATAGCCACGCCCATTTCTGCCATTAAAGTTTTCCACCATTTTTAAAAAACTGAAACCTTTAAAAGTTAATGCGTTCTACACCGTTTTTCCAATTGTCATGAAATTTGGCACAAATCATCGTCAAAGGACGCCGATTAAAGAAATGTATCTCTGACATGTTACAGATTTTTCGTTCAGACGTAGCAGTCCAATGAATTTTGCTGGGCGGGGCTAATAGTTACTCTTATGCCTGTATTATTAGATATTATGATCCAAACTTCATGAAACTTCGAGGTCATGATACTAAGTTGCTTTGCTGGAGCCATGCCAAATTTTGTGGAGTTACATCAAAAGGGGGTGCTATAAAAGCCATATGGTGATATCTCAGGATCAGCTTGGGCTAATGACCAGAAATTTGGCATGGTGATGTAGGACACATCTGGAATGTATGTCCTAAAAATTGGTGGGCGTGGCTAAAAAAATCAGCGAGAAAAATCAAAAAAACTGTACAAATGTCTATATTTCCAAGTTGGCCGGGAAAGTTTCGTATTGAGCACTTGATTATGATAGGTCCTTGCATTTGGAAGATATAGACCAAATTTGAGGTTTTTCGGATGGACGTGGGCTGAGTAATGAAATTTTTTCTCATTAAAAAACAGTTTTTTAAACACATGTCTATTTGGCTGTTTGGCCACAGGGGGCGCTGTAAAAGCATTTATCAGTAATTCTTCTACTACTACTACTACTATCACTACTAATACTGCTGCTGGTACTGCTTCTACTACTACTACTACTACTGCTATTACTATTACTTCTGCTGCTACTGCTACTACTGCTACTACTAATATTACACCTACTATTAGTGCTAATACTTTAGAAACATACACAAACAGGCGCACATTCACTTACACACAAACAGAACGACACACGCACACACAAAACACTTACAGTTACTCTCCTTAAAGCTTGCTGAGTGACGAGCATGTTTGTGTGATGGGCACTATCCTGAAACTACCCCCCCATAAAACCAACTTTGCTTTCTCGCATGCACACGCAGACACTCACAAGCAGTTGAGCACGCACCACACACATTGACACATACGCAAAGAGGCACACAATAACGCACACAGACAAACCTGCCCATCTTAACTATCTATAATCTGCACGGAAGACCACACTGCACCAAGCCACCCTCAAATCTATGCAGATGCTCTCAAATGAGCACTGGGCCCAGGAGACACAGCTAACTGTGTGGAAATCGCAATCGCGCCATTTTCCCAGGCAACTGGGTAGACAAGAGAAGCAGGGCGGGGACACCGTTGTTGCGCGCCAAGGCGGACAGACGAACAGGCGTACTACGTTTGCTTGCTGGGTAAAATCTTTTTACGCGGACCCTGAGTGCGTGAGTTTGGCGAAAATTACACTGTGGTAACTTGCTTTCTGGGACTTTGCCGCGTTCGCGTCAACACGGGCGGGAATTTGCCACGTTCGGCGACCAGCGCCAGGTACGGAACCCGCTCATCGCCGCTTGCGGCTATATTATTTTTTTTGCAGGTCTAATTTTACACATTTATTAAAGGGAGGAAAATGCATACAATGTCTTTTTACCACAAGTGGTACAATTACGGGGCATAACGCTGGGGATGCAAAATGGTGGGTCACATTGTCACCATGTATATTTGCTCTTCCGTTTCACTGCTCTTTGAGAGACTACCTTTGTGGCAACCATTGGTTCCTCAGTTTTGATGTCCTGGTGGCTGCTCTCTCATTCCTGTGCTACACATTGATTGTTCCAGATACTCGCTTCCTTTGTTTACCTGTCTGCTACTGCCTCCACCATTGCCCTCCTCACTAGTCCCATTCCCCCTGGGACTGATTTCCTGGTTCTGATCATAGCTCTCCTGATCATCATAGTCCTGCCAAATCTCCAGTCTCTAGTCTCTTGTCTGCAGTGTGACAATCTCAGTCTGCTCACTGACTATGATTTACATTTCCTGCATTGCAATGTTTTTCATCTTCTGGATCTGGACAGCTGATTTCTGGTAATAAAACCTAGGTATTGTCACTTCTGGTTCTGCTATTGAGTCCTTTGGTTCTGTGGCACCTGAAAGGTCCTGTCTTCTGCTCCATCATTAATTCTGAAATGAACAGTGCATCAAAATTTTCCAAAGAAAATATAAAAGATACTTTATATAGTGGAAAGTGAGGGGGCCATTGCTTGTTTCCTTCACCTCATTCCCAATCTGTTCTTCAAAACTGAAACTGTATTAGAAAGTACAAAGTGAGTGATTGATTCCTTACTTCCATTTACTGTAGCGGCAGTATTTGAGACTTAATTTACGTCTTACACTTGTGCCTGTTCTATTCAGGAAGTGCTTCATCATTCACTGTTTATGCAGGATCATGTATATCATGCATAGAATTTCTGTGATTAAAAAGGTTAGCCAATTACCATAGCATTTTGTTAGGGCACTGAAAGAGTAATTTCCAAATATTTTCAGTGAAGAAATACACGTGAACTGTTCTTTTCACAAAAAATATTAGAAATATTAACATAAATGGACCATGCGGCGGCACAGTGGCAGTGGTTAGCGCTGCCGCCTTGCAGCGGCAAGGTCCTGGGTTCGAATCCAACCTGGGGCTTTTGTGTGGAATTTGCATGTTCACCTCGTGTTCGCGTGGGCATCCTCTGGGTGCTCTGGTTTCCTCCCACAATCCAAAGACATGCACATCAGGCCAATTTACAGATGCTAAATTGCCCATTGGTATGAGTATGAGTGAATGTTGTGTGAATGGTGTGTGTGCCCGGTGATGAGTTGGTGAGCTGTCTTAGGTGCGTCCCTGCCTTTCGCCCATAGTCAGCTGGGATAGGCTCCAGCTCCCTCCGTGACCCTAGTGAGGAAGAAGTGGGAATAGAGAATAAATGAATGAATGAAATTGACCATGACACTGATGTAAGACACCGCCACAGCTTCCATATGTGCATGGTCCCTGTCAAAAAGCATTTAGCAGGTGACTAGGTCATGTCATATACTGTCATCCATGATATGATGACTGATTAATTCTGAAAACTTGCATTAGGAAAATGGAATGTACTTGGTCTTTCAAGTGTCAGTTTGAAGCAGTGTCAATTAAAGATGATAGATTTGGAGTGGTGGATCATCAAGTCAGTCCATTATATGCTCAGAGCAGGGACGTGCGGTCAGGGTCGGCAGTGACTTTTCCTTTTTTTATCGTTAGATTTTGTCAACTTGTTTCCACATTCTATGCCTGATTGTCAATCAATCAATTTGACCTTTTTTTTCTGGTTGATTAAGCCTGCAATGATTAAGAAGTGATAGTGACAGAAAGATTAATTTACCTTTATGCTTTGATTCGAGACTGCAAGGAAGTAAATCTTAATCTCAACTCTCTCGGTAATTCCGTATATTGTTTTGATCTGTTGTTTATCGGATTATGAAAGAAGACTGAAAATAAACTCTCTATTTTTAAAAAATGGCATTCAAAAGTATGTGTTTAAGGGGGGAAATATTATCGTAAACATTTTGACCACACATTGAACGCCGCAAAAGAAAGGTTTTAATACTTGTTAATGGCATTGCGTTAGCTTCCTCTAAGCAAATATGAACAAACTTGCTGTCTCGTGAGCATTTTAAGTTCGATGCACTGCGCAATAATGTCGTGGATGGAACTGGCACGCCATTCTGCCGTTTAGTCTTGTAAATTAGTTCATCCTCAGATTGCTAATCAAGCAAAGTAATAGAGTTATCGTTTGTTTAACGGTGAGCATTCTGCCTACCCTAACTGACCTCTGACGGCACTTCACTGGCTCAGAGGTCACCTAAATTCCCCAGAACAGCCTAAATTATTGGTGGCGTGGATTTAACATGGTGCTGAAAACAATCCAGTCATGTAAACATGCCAGCATCACCTAGTTGCAGCAGGTTTATCACATTTCAGCACCTCCCGAAGGTCTTTGATTGAATGAAATCTGTTTAGGCCACTGGGGGACACTCAACTCACTGTTCTTGGAAACAGCATGAGAGGAAGTGTGCTTTGTGACATGCCACATTATGCTGTTGGAAGCAGCCATTTGAAGATAGGCCGGCTTCGGCCAAAAAGGGATTTTCCTGGTCCGCAGAGGCATTTAAGTGATGCTCAGGTGGTATTAAGGGGCCTTGCATGTTTCAAAATATTTACCTCACCATTTGACCACTAGCAGCAGCCTTATTGTTCACGTTATCAGGATGGATCCATGGATCTATGTTGTTGATTCCAAATTCTGATCCGACCAGCCAGTCTTCTGCTGTCCAGTTGTCTTCGCTGTAATCTCAGTGTCCAGTTCTTAATTCTTTGCCACCCATGGGCCTAATGGGTAAAATTCCGGCTGTTTTTGACTAATGAAACAAAAGCACTGCATCTCAAAACTGTAAATGTAAAAAATATGGTTGAATGCTTGTTTGAAAATGGACAACTGCACCCTAATTACTTAACAGTCATTTACAATTAAAGTTCAGTCTGTAATACTTTGTTTCATGAACTCAGGCATTCAAAATGTCTAGAAATCAGGGATTTTTGTCCTGACATGGTGCAGCTGCCATTGATGAAACGACCCTTCTTTTTGGCTCCTGTATATGCTAACTACTTGAGGAAAAATGTGTGCCGGTATCTCTGACCATACAGATTATGTATTCTTCTTTTCAGATGAGCCACTTTTGTTTGGTCCCCAAGTCTTATTACAATAATAGTTCAATCGTCATTTTGAAAACATCCTGTTCTCGTACACTATAGTAACAGGATAGTATGATAGATCACAAGAGTCATCAAAATATGGCATATCCCCCCTGACCCCTGCAATCTATTCTCAGAAGTACCAAAATATCAACAGACACCAGTCTAGGACCTGATTAATACACAAGAACAAGTTTCATTTAAACAAAACTGAACGGTATTCAAGTTTTGCTCAGGAAACAAAATGATCACAGACGGATGGATATACTGATGACTATATCCCCCTGCATTATTTGCCGGGGGGGAGAAAAATAGTTGAAATTCAAAAATAGCCAAAGGCACCACTTCAGTCGTCAATCAATATTGTTACAGTTCAGCCTGTCTGCCCTGTATCTGTGCTGCTGCATGGCATGCTTACTTTCTGTTTCCGTTTTAGGCGCAGCTGCCTGAGTTGTGATGCAGGGCACCTGTGTGAAGGCGTGGCCTTGGGCTATATAGTAGCCCCTTTTGCTCCGCCCTCTCTCACTTCCTGGATCTAGACCCTGCCATTTCAGTGCTGTGTGTTTGCAGCCTTTTCTTTTGTTTTTCTTTATTTAATAAAAACAGCACATTTTTGCACTTGGCTTGGTGTTGTGTCTCCATTATGTTACGTCTTTCGAGCCGGTCGTAACAATATCACGGTGAAGTTTCAGGAAAAAAAATTCCACATTGTTTTTGAGCTCTGTCCAAGAGACAAAATGTACATGGAAGGACAGACAGACGGACAACCACATTGACAACTATATTCCTCCGCTTTATTTGCCTGGGGGATAAAAAGTGACGTGCATTGCACAAAAACCTAAGTTACCTAAGTGGACCAAAATAACTTCATGAGCCATAATAATAACAACCACCACACTTTTGGGCGATTTAAATGCTGCAGAAATTATATGACAAAGTCGAGTGCAAAATTTAACCTACTCATTTATTAATTTCTACATTTCATGCCAGCACCCTTCACCATCTATCTCCAGCAGCTGCAGCTGGCTTATCCAGCAGGGATACCTAGCACCATTATGCTAGTGCACCCCACAGCCTTGTCCCAGCAAGGATGCTAGTGCCCCCAATGCTAACTTCCAGTGTCCATGGGAGTTCATTTTAACTAAGATTCCTGGAACCCTATGCCAGTTCCCTTCACTGCCCACCTACAGTAACCATAACAGTCGTTTTAAAATAATGAAGGAGGTCAATGACCTTGCTGCCCTCTCTGAGCAACAGCAGTACTTTGATTCTACCAGAGATCCTGGCACCAAAATGCCAGTGCCCCTGCTGCTCCGTAGCTGGTACCAGGATGCCAATGCCCCCCCTTCCCTCCCTGAGCAGCAGCTGCAGATTGGTCCAACCAGGGCTCCTGGCACAAGAATACAAGTGCCCTTTGCTGCCCACTCACATTAACCATAGAAGTTCCCTTTAACCAAGGCTCCTGGCACCAAGATGCCAGTACCCCCTGCAGTCCACTTCAAGCAACCACAACAGTTTGCCATAGCAGGGGCTTCTAGGACAGGGATTCCAACACCCAATATCTCAACTTTACCCTATGCATCTTTCCTGAAAGGCAAGCTATCATCTCTTGCTCATTATAAATTGATCTTCTTTTCCATCACTCTTGGAATCCATCTCAGTCAGCTGAGCAAGCTGTGTTGCGCTGCATCTCTGGTTCAACAACCTCACTACGTGGACTGTAATCACCTTCTATGCCCTCATTCTGCAGCCGTGAACAGTTTTTTTCCTGCTACTCAGAAAATCCACCCTTATAATAGCTCTTCTCCAAAGTACAAATCCCTTTGGCGTTTGAAGGCAATGGGAGATGACACTCTGATCGATTGGTTTATTGCATGTTTCGCCCAGAACACGCCTATGATTATTTAGGAGATTAAATCCAACCCCTTTGCACTGAGTACCTTACTATACGCCCAGATAACCTGCCATTTAACAAGCACAAATGGATTTGGACACGCCCTTAATGCACTTGCGCCATCTGTTTCAGACCGAACGCTCAGATCGTTAAAATAGGGCCCTTTATCTCTATGTCTGAACAAATGGATGTTCAATCCTGGTTCCGTATTCGACAAAGCAGAAGAGCAAGCGCTGCATGAGAGTTCCCCTTTTGCATATCAGTCATATTCCCTTCAATAAATAAATCCTTGTCCTTAAGGCAATTTTCCCCCCCATTCTTCTCTATGCGGGGAGGGTTTTTCCCCCCAGACAAAGCCACTTGCAAACAAATTGCTTGGATGGCCTTTCATTTTGTCTGGGGGAGTAAAACGGAAAAAAAAATTGAAAAGAGCTTCGCTCCTCAAGGAGGAGAAGAATGGGGGCCGGGGAGTCCCAGACATTGTGACCATCATCATGGTTTAGGGTCTGGCTGCCCTTGTTCAGAACACTAGGACGGTGGAGAAGGCGGCAGGTACCTTTGCTAGGTATTATGCTACTCCTTCCTCAGGGCGATGGGCTTAGCTGCGCTGGACCTGAAAATCCTGTATTGTTGGGACCCTCCTATGTCTATTGAGCTTTAAAAGACTTTGCCTACAGGACGGGACTGCCTCGGGCTGGTCTGACCTTGAGGAGCTATAAGATTATACTGGCTTATTTAAGATCCAACCATAAGCGCGCACACCACAAAAGGCTGAGTCCTTGCGGAGGCCCAGGTTTGATTCCGGCTCGAGCCTGTTTGCCGCATGTCATCCCCATTCTTGTCCCAACTTTCCTGTCTCTACTGAACACTGTTTAATAAAGGGGAAACCTCATAAAAATAATCTTTAAAAAAAAGTCAATAAATGTTTGACTAGCAAGCAGAAAGACATTGTCTGGATGACGGCTCATTAGTGTCTCTCCACTATAGCTTTCATGTATCGCCGGCACTTAGCCCTGAC